TTGGCGGGGTGCCCCACCACACGCCCCGGGGGGGGGAGCCACAGGACACGCACCTGACAGCAAAGCTGCTGCTCCGGGTGTCCAAGCAAGGAACAGAAGCAGGAGACAGTGGGGAGTGGTTGGATGGTCCTGGGTCACCACAGCAGGTCGTGCTGCAAGCCTGCCGTTCCGAAACACAACTGAACCGTCAGCTCCTCTTGAAGAGAAGCACAAACAAGTCATCACGAGAGCACCGGAAACACAGATGTGGGTGCTCCCAAGAAGGAAGCAGCTCTGAAATGTCATCTCCTCACCCCACAGGCTTGGGGGCACCCTGAAGGACCCCAGTGCCCTCTCTGCTGGAGGCTGCATGACCGGTGCTGGCAGCTCCATTAAGCCCTGAGCCAGAGGACTCCGGCAGCGCAGCGAATATTCCATGAAGCTCTTTGCAGTCACCACCGTTTGGCAGGGCAGGGCTCTGCCAGGCAGAGCTGAGCAGCCCATCTCCCTGTCTGTGCCCATGTGCAGCCCCTGCTCCATGGGTAGGACCTCTCCACCTGCACCCACATGCCCATGACAGCTGAAACGCCTGCTTCCCCCTGCCCATGCCCACGAGTGCCCTCGCCTTGTGGTTCCCCAGCCCAGTGCCGTCAACCACAAGTCGCTGCCGCTGCCTCAGCCCCAGAGGACATTGCCAGGAGCTCCCCAAGCCCCACAGCCAGGAAAGAGACCCCAGCCAATTGTCCCCAGGGCCCCTCACCTTCTTGGAGGAAGCCCTGCTGAGCAGGACCAGCTGAAGGGGTGCTCCAGAGATCGGTGGCTTTGCCAGTGCTCGTTGTGAGCTGCAAAGACCACCGCAGGAAGAGGAAGTGTTGCACCGTGATGTGGCAGAAAACAGAGCCTCGAAACGAGTGGCGCAGTGAGGTCAGAGCTGCTGTCCCTCCTGCCATGGAACCCACCACCCTGGTGTCCCAGCACAGCCCCAGCACACCACGGCAGCCACTGGTCCTGCTGGATTTGGATGCCCTGGCCATGTTCCCAGGGTTGAATCAGGAAATTCATTATTGCAGTGTTCCTCTGAGGGTGGGAGGAGCTGCATGGAGTGGAACTGCCCTCCTGCCCCTGAGGGCCATAGAACCACAGAGTGGTTTGGGTTAGAAAGGACCTTAAGATCATCCAGTTCCAACCACCTGCCATGGGCAGGGACACCACACACTAGACCATGTTGCCCAAGGCTCTGTCTAACCTGGCCTTGAACACTGCCAGGGATGGAGCATTCACAGCTTCCTGGGATGTCTCGTCTCCTGCAGATGCTGACACCAGTAATATGAAGGTCTCATCCAGCTGGTTTCTCTTCCTCACCTGAATGGGATTTGGGCTCAGAGAGGGCAGAGAAAAGCTGTGAAATGTGCCTCAGCAATGGGGAAAACACAGGTAGTGGAGAAAAGCCATGTAAGCTGAACTGTGAGTAATGTTATCCAGGGGGAGGTCAGCCCTCTTGGCTCTTATGCCTGAGAAGAGGTTTGGTGCCTGAGGGAGAGTGGTTAAGAGGAAGGTGTAACAACTCAAACCAGAGCAGCCCCATAGAGAAGGTGTTTATTGGCAGCAGGCTCAAAAAGCCTCTCCACCGCTGCCGTGAGGGCCAGGCACCAGAGGAGCAATGCCCTGAGCTGCCATAGAGCACGTTTTCTGGAGCACACACAGTGAAACCTGGGTGGGAGGAATTAGGGATGGCTCAGACGCCACAGGGTGGTGCTGGCTCCACAGCACTTGTTCGCGTCTCATTTTATTTCCACTTCCCACCTAGCTGTTGTATTGGGAACAATAGTAATTAGTAGTTCACGTCCAAACCCCAGATTCAGTTGCAACTGCTTGAACTCACAGCCACAGATTGGCATTAATTTATCAGACCTTAATGAGTCAGTAATGTCATGTAAAAGAAAACTGGATCTAACAACTACTTAAATTGCAATCGCATACACTGAGTGTGCTCAGCCCTCAGCAGAGGTCTCTTTCCCAGGGGTTTCCATGCCAGCTCCAGATCCTCTGCCCCCAGCTCCCCATCCTGCTCTGCTCGAGAGGCAGCAGGAGCACAGAGATGGCCAAGAGGAGAGAAGTGTGTTAGGGAAGAGGGTGATATGGGGGAAACCCCCCCCAAGCTAATGATGTAGACTGTTGTGCAGAGCTTAAAAATGAAGCAGGAATACCTTTACACAGGCTTCCAGCCACACACCGCATCTCAAAGCAGGAATAAAGAAGAGAAAACACAGCTGGCTGTGGGCAAAGGGAAGCTGACGGAGCTATCACTCCTCCTGAGTGCAGCCTCAGCAGCAGCAGCAGCGTGAGAAATACATCGTGCGGTGCTCCTGTGGCCCCTAAAACATGCGGCCACTGCTCTGCTCCTCCTGGCTGGAATTGTGGAGGACTGGGGTTTCCTAACACCCCCCCAATGAGATAGGGAGCGGGAGGGATGACGCATGAGCCAAGTTTGCCAGGTCTCTGCGGCTCACAGCAAGCTCCCTGGCTGACACTACATGGTGAGCATGGTGGTTTTAAGCTCCCTGCAGGCAAAGGGGGAATTAAAGCTTGTGTGTGGGTTGAAGGATTTATCTTCCATCTTTTCAGAAAGCCTCCAAGAGGAGGTTTGTGGAGGGAGCAAGGTGGTGGGTGCTGGTGGGACATGTCCCTCTTGGAACTGAGGAAAGGTGGGAAGCAAACAAGAACTTCTGGGGCCTCTTGATTTTTCAGCTACAGGGGAGCTGGGGTCTTCCCTGGGATTTGGGGTGAAGAGAGACAAATTCAACCCATGTCTCCTCCACAGGGATGCAGGGCTCGATGCTCAAGACCAAAGGGCTGGTCTTAAAGTTGGGCCAACGCCAGGGGCTCTCTGAGGTGTGCAGTACAGCAGGAGTTCTGCACAGCTCCAGCTCCTCCTGTTGTGCAGGAACTACCCGCAAAACTGAGCGGGACTCCTGGGCAGAGGGAAAGATGTGTGTAAAAGACCCATAGGCTGAAATCCCACAGCACATGCTCCTGGAATGAGGTTCAGTAAATGCAGGGGGGGAATTCCCACCTGTGCAGCAGCCATCGGACTCGTAGGAACTGCCATTATCTTTCAAATGGCTTTAAGTGGCTCAGTGTAATGGGACTGGTTTTATCCGTTTACTCTTTGCCTAGGGGAGGGTTGAGCTTTATCCTGCCTTGTGAGCTTGAGAAATTTATGTAGCTAACTTTCTGTTCCTCGGGCTGATTTCCTCTCCTTTGGGTGCCTTCACAGGGTGGTTTCCTTCATCTTTTCCTTCACTGACAAGATTTCACTGCGTTCTCCAGCCCTGCAGAGCTTCGGTCACTGTTGTCACGGAGGAGAGTGATGATGAAAATTGATGTTTTCTGAGCACATACCTGTTACTAAGGCTGATGCATGGAGGATCCTTCAGCCCTACTTTTGCTTTGGTTGTGTGTGGAATGGGGATGCTGTGGCAACAAGCTAAAGCCCAGTTAAAGCCCAGCATTTCACTAGTCTGTAGCAGCTCTGCATCATGGACTCTTCCACAAAGATGTTATCCAGGTGCCAGGGGAGAGCAGGGAGCAACCCATGGGAGAACAGGGATCACTCCACTCACTACCTCCCAAGGCTTTCATGCTGTTTGCACCAACAAGAGGCTTTTCTTAGCCATGTCTCTGCTTAGAGGT